AGAAGGATGTGAATAGACATGACTACCAACGCCACACGGCATGGAGGGTCATCTGTGTCAGAGTTGACTGAAAGTACACGAGACAGAAGGATGTGGATAGACATGACTACCAACGCCACACGGCATGGAGGATCATCTGTGTCAGAGTTGACTGAAAGTACACGAGACAGAAGGACGTGGATAGTCATGACTTTCAGAAGAGGATTATTATTTAGATAGTGGAAAATAAGCTAGATCTTTTATTAGTAAATGACGTAAGTGACTATATTTACTACTGTTAAAAATAAAGTACAGAAATTTGCACAGAAAAATGTACTAATTAATTTTTTAATAAAGTGTAATAACAGTTTAAGGCTGGAGTTAGGACTGGACATTTCTGTTGTGTATACTAGCCACGGGCCGGTTATTGAGCCCGGGACTAGAAGCAGCTGTCATGTCGTGGTGCAACAACAACAGACAGCTGGCTATTTTTAGAACTACATTGGACCTTCTGCAGTTGCTCAAACTTGGGTATATAATCGCTGATGTTTAGGTTCAGACGAAGTTTAGGCGTCAGTTTTAGAAGTACCGCAGCTCGGCTTTTTCCGTAAACAAGATAGTAACAGTTAAAAATAGTATAATTCTAAAGTTCAACAGTTCAACGGTAAATTTCACGTCAAGTCTGTGTAGTTTAGGAGTTAAGGATCTCGTCTGCCCTTTTCAATCTTCTTAAGGAAGGTTATTGGACCGACTTTTTGGGAAATCCATTTACAAAACCACAATTATATCTCGATCGAAACAGCCTTTCTGTCCACAGTTTGTCACAAAGTATGTCGTTAGCTCAAGTAGAAAAGTCCCAAATTAGCGTGGTCACGCCAATGTCGTTAAATCCTTGGTCAAGAATGAGTAGTCCCTGGGCGAAAGTGGCCTCTCCTCCCGTGGTCTGTTCTCTGGAAGAGGTGATGAGTGAACAGCTGGCTGCGGAAATGGACGTCCAGGAGCAGCACGAAATCAGCAAGGTTGTCTTTGCAGAGGAGCAGTTTCTCACAGAACACCAAAGCAGGTATGGGAAATATTAGGAGATTGGTTGTGTGCTTTCACTAATCGTAATATAAGATGTTTCGATTTTACAACAAAGCTTTTAATATTCCCAGTGTGGTTTCACAGGGAAAACAAAAAAAGACCCATTGTCTCCCTAACAAGCTTGTACTAAGAGCCTACTAACTGGGAGCTTCCTTTGACATCGGAGTGCATCTGTCTGACAATCAGGGACCAACAGGCTGCATACAAATAGGTCAGAACACCCAGAACTTTCCGCTAGAATTTAGAGCTAGTGAACGGGAAAAAGAGGACTTGTCATATTGGTGGCACACTTATTTTTTGACTAGCATAAGTAATTTTATGACACAGTAATTCAGTCTACCAGCTAACCTAAGGTTAAAGTTTACATTCCACACTGATTATTCTGTAAAATGTTTTAAATTTGTGTGATGAACCTTCACACTGCAGCTGACACTGACGTGTAGAGACACACAGTTTGGAAAGCTCTGCTTTAGAGAGACTTCAAATATTTTTTAAAAAAAAACAGTTTTGACAGTCACTAGCTAATATACTGATTTTATTTTCTTCTTGGCATTCACTGGCTATAAACTCCAGCGGACAATTCAGGTTGTTTGTCCACTTCTGGACTCTAGTCCCCTCCCAGTGTAATGTGTGCGCATTCGTTTTTCCAATCTAACACTTGTAAGCAGTCTATTGGTTCCTTGCCTTTGAGGCAGATGACTGCCACTTTGAAGGAAGCTCCTATTTAGTCAACTCTTATGACATGCTTTTGGATAGGCAATGGGTCTGTTCTTGTTGTCTCCAAAGCCCCAGTCCACGCTGCGCTTAGCGGCTACTCTCGGCGGTGGTGGTAGTCGCCTGAAGTGCGCAATTTAAGTTGCCAGAAGTCTGCAATTGACACGATACCGAGGCCCTGTTAGGGTATATTTTTGGCCTCGATAATTTGGGACCATTATTCGGTAGATAGCCCAAAATTATATTTCATAAATGCCCTTCTGAAGTATCTCCGCATGTGTGCTAGAGAGACTTGTGAGTTCTAGTGACCCCAGGAGCTGTGCCACTGCTGACTTTTTCTTGTAGGGTCTCCTACTGCTGACTTCTTGTAGGGTCTCCCACTGCTGACTACTTTTAGGGTCTCCTACTGCTGACTTCTTGTAGGGTCTCCCACTGCTGACTACTTGTAGGGTCTCCTACTGCTGACTACTTGTAGGGTCTCCCACTGCTGACTTCTTGTAAGGTCTCCTATGTTGGGATTAACCAGACAAGCCATGCTACCTTGCACCTCAAGCACACCATCCTCTCTGTGAACCATGCTGGAATTTATGCTTAGCCAGCATTGATCAATGAAGAAGAAAAAGCTGCCTTGAAGACTGTCAAATGCTAGAGAAAGCAAACCTGAAAGAAATGTCTGTAAAAATTGGATGTACTGAGTTCTGTGTGAGGGTTTTGTGGCACTTTTGGGGAGGGGTCAGGGAGAGAATAGACCCACTGCCACTAAACAGTTCTTTTTCTTTAAAGCAACTTATAAGGTTTTGCAGAAATCAGATGTGTCTGGCCAGAATTGAAGATATCGCAATCTAGCTGTAAACCATAATACCGCACGCCACCTGCACTTTTAAGGGTAAACTCGAAAGAAGATGAGTGTACTGAACTGGCTTGGCAAAACAGCCAATGCAATTCATTTTATGATAAAAGTTAGTTGAGTATCCTTTACAGGACATTGCAGAGCCAACCCCAGCATTTTTTTGGGGGGCTGTTGTGTTTTTTCTAGGCAAATTTACATCTAGCAGTTTGACTTTATGATAAAACAGGATATAGCACTTTAATAAATTTTACACTTCGTTGCCTTTTTTTGCAACAACAACAAAATCTGCCTGTTGCAGTGAGACAGGAGCAGCAGCAGCAGATTCCAGGCAGTCAGATGCTGAACTAGCTGCACAGTTGGCAGCTGAAGACTTGGGTGTCAGTGCAAATGATGAACTCCTGGCACGCTTCCTTCAGAAAGAATTTGATAAAGAATATGATGCAATGATTGCTAATAAGGAGAAAAAATTCAATGGTACAAGCAAAGGTAAAATCGAATTTTACTTTTTATTTTATTTTTTCACTTTTGTGGATGCAGCATTAGTGGTTCACATTTGTTATTCTTCTTGTCTAAATGTATCATGGAAAGATATCAAACCAAAGAAAAAGTAGAAGAGTCAGTTTCACATTATCTCAAACACAAAAGACAAGTGAATGTTTGCGGCACATTACATGAATATACAATACCACAAACATGAACAAAAATACATCACTTGACTGAAGTATGTCTGAGAGAAATCACGTATGTCTGGACTGTTGAATCCCTGACGCAGGTGTGGCTGCCAAAAATAACAGCAAGGGTCGTAACTCAGAAATATCAGATAAAACTGTGTTGGATGTTAGGTCCCTTAGACAAATTGAAGCATATTAGAATATTGAATGTTGAATTAAGAATCGACATCACAGGACTCGGGACACTTCCTTAAGCGCTCCGTCCCCATCTTCAGCAGCAAGCAAAGAATTCTGATGGCACCAGTAACTGTCTGATTGTATATCCACCTCATCTTTTCCCTGAGTGTTGAGCGTCGGCCAGAACCCCTTGTAACTCCTCGCAGCGCCATTCTCCCCAGACCGTAATGATCTGTCTGTGCCTCAGCATTGATCAATCACTCCCAAAGAGCCCTCACAACATTCAGCTTGTCATACATTGTTCACCATCAAACAGTGCAGAAGCTTATTGGATAAATAAGAAGTTCTCTACAGATTTGCGGCCTCTGTCATTAGAGTGACTAGGCTTGATGGCCGTAACTTCTGTGTCACACATGAGCATAACTGCAGACATTAAGCACCCACTGCACAAAAGCTGTCGATGACACAGAAGAATGCCCCTCAAAAGTGGCTACTCCTGGATGGCTGAGGTTGAAAATTTAATCCATTAGGTATATGAACTAGACGAGATCAGTCACGGAAAATATTGAAGGATACTCCAGTAGATATTTATGACATTTCTAAGGTTGTCATCACACTAGGGAGGTGCTGCAGGAACTAGAATCTTGCTGCAATAGACACCATGATAAGGGCTTTGATAGATCAGAATTCAAGCCCAGAAGACATCATCATTTATTCAGATGGGTCTGTGAGGTACACTCAAGGTCAGTGTAGGCATACACAGCCCAAAAGAAACAATAAAAGAGGATTGTAGCACCTACCAGGCAACTGTATGAATCCTGACCATATAGATAACCACTGCCTGTAGAGCACCTGCATGGACAGTAGAACAAACAACCACACATGCAGTAACCATCTCAGACTCCATGGCAATGCTTCAGAAAATCTTAACAGGTAATGTTCTTTTTGAATTTGTATAAAGTATTCAGAAGTCGCCTTTAGCCTTCCTCACCTGGATCTACAGACCTGGGCATGCTAGAGTAAAAGGTAATGAATAAGTCGACCATCTGGCAAGTAATGCACCAGATGTATAGAGGGAGAAGCATGGATAGGACTGATATCATTAACACTGTACAGACTGTACTGGTGGGTAGTGCTAACTCTCTGACGCTAACACATCTGCAGGACCTGTGAGTAAATCAGGGTGAAGCATGTCTAAGCCATGCTTGAAGTCAAGATAGGAAACATTATAACCAGTTTCTCATCGGAAGAATCAGCAGAGGTGCCTTGCAATGTCTGCTGCATCAGTGGACCAAGCACGTATTGAAATGCCCAATGTGCAATCACGTCAGTTGTGATGACTTAGCCTAACATGGTGACTTATTTAGTCAGGCATTGTAAATCATCCGTGCATATGTTTGCTTACATGTCTTCATCTTTAGAAATTAACATCATCAGTGTTTAGTTAGGTGGAAATTACAAATAGTATCTTTTTCTACATTTTCTGTCACATAAGTTATTTTATTATTTTTATTATTCTTTAACAGTGTCAATCTCCTTTGAGAACTACAAGATGAAACACCAGCGTGACGAAGTTTTAGGAGTTAAGGATGATGTAGATGAGGATGATGAATATGATCAGGATTTTCCAGAGTTTCCTACACCAACCAGTTGGGGTATGTTTTTATTTTCTGTGTGAATTGTTTTCTTCTTGATCTTAAGATTTAAACCTAAGGCAGCCAGACAGGCAGGCAAGCAGTACAACAGTTGGCAGCTAACATCCATAGTGATAAAGAAGATCAGAAGCATAATTGAAAGCCAAAGAAATAGAAAATGAATAAAAAGTAGAACTAGCAGTTCAAAAATAGAGAATAGATCATATAGCCTCTAGAATCTTGAAAAATGTCTCGTGGAAAAGGGGATGTGTTTGTGTTTTTAATTGTTTGCCGCCAGTGTTCCCTGTTTTCAGAGATTCTGCAAATGTTTTTTTTTTCTGTGAAATTCTACCATTTTCTCATAGAGGAAGTTTTACTAACATTTTCTAGGGGGGGGGGGGGGGGGGGCGCTCAAGGAGTCTTCTCTTAGGGGAAGTTTGATATTTCAGATTGGAGGAGATTCTGTTACAGTTGTATGGTGGAATTCTATTAAAGTTACATTTGAAGATTTTGTCAGTTTTCATTTGTGAAATATTTGCACTATATATGTTTATAGAGTATGCCTTGCTTCATTTTCACAGAAACACCAAAGCCACATATTGGTGCTAAAGGCTACATTGGACGGGGTAAAGATATCATCACAAAACATGACAATCTCATCTGTGGACGTCGCAATGCTGAACGCCTTATGGAGGTAATGTGCTTAATGCTGAAAATATGTACTTGTATAATTACATATTTTAATTACTTATATAATTGACTCTAGCATTTGCACTATTTATTTTACTCTGACAACAGTATCTTCTTATTTTTCTAAGCGTTCTTAGGCTGTAAACTGGCGGAATGTTCTGGAGTTTTGTCTTCTTCTAGAACTTGAGGTTTCCGTAGACAATTGGCTTATTTGATGGCAATCATTTGATTCCTTGCTTCTGAGACAGATGCACTCCAACTTCAAAGGAAACACCCCAGATTAGTTGCCTTATATGACATGCTTGTTAGGTGGGTAGTGGGTCTGTTCTCCCCCCCCCCCCTTCCCCCCCCCCCCCCCCCCCTTCCCCCCCCCCCCCACTCCCCCACTTGAGACAATTGTAGCATGTGAGAGAGTTACAAGCAACAACCAGGATATAAATGCTTTAGACTCTGGCATGGAAAAACATTTGTGTTAGAAAAGATTAGCAGTACACAGGACAGAAGCCTGTAGACAGACAGAATGATCAATGGCAAAGACTATAAGATAAAGCATCTGCACACCCACCTGTAAATGTTGATGTCAGTATGTCTTCTCCTCCTTCCTTATATCTCCTGTAACAGACTCATGCCAAGCACTTTAGACTTGTCTATGATTGTTTGTTTTTTAGATGTAATCTGCACTTTTAACATCTACAAGATATGCAGATGAATGCCAGCTGTCCAGCATTGGCACTCTCTGAAAGTAAAGAGAACCCCATGGTAAATGTTGGGTTGTGACTGTTAGAGACATCCTGTGAAAGTAAAGAGAATCCCATGGTAAATGTTGGGTTGTGACTGTTAGAGACATCCTGTGAAAGTAAAGAGAATCCCATGGTAAATGTTGGGTTGTGACTGTTATAGACATCCTGTGGAAGTAAAGAGAATCCCATGGTAAATGTTGGGTTGTGACTGTTAGAGACATCCTCTGAAAGTAAAGAGAACCCCATGGTAAATGTTGGGTTGTGACTTTTAGAGACATCCTGTGGAAGTAAGGAGAATCCCATAGTAAATGCTGGGTTGTGATTGTTATAGACATCCTGTGGAAGTAAAGAGAACCCCATGGTAAATGTTGGATTGTGACTGTTAGAGACATCCTCTGAAAGTAAAGAGAACCCCATGGTAAATGTTGTGTTGTGACTGTTAGAGACATCCTGTGAAAGTAAAGAGAATCCCATGGTAAATGTTGGGTTGTGACTTTTAGAGACATCCTGTGGAAGTAAGGAGAATCCCATAGTAAATGCTGGGTTGTGATTGTTATAGACATCCTGTGGAAGTAAAGAGAACCCCATGGTAAATGTTGGATTGTGACTGTTAGAGACATCCTCTGAAAGTAAAGAGAACCACATGGTAAATGTTGTGTTGTGACTGTTAGAGACATCCTGTGGAAGTAAAGAGAATCCCATGGTAAATGCTGGGTTGTGACTGTTAGAGACATCCTGTGGAAGTAAAGAGAATCCCATAGTAAATGCTGGGTAGTGTCTGTTAGAGACATCCTCTGAAAGTAAAGAGAACCCCATGGTAAATGTTGGGTTGTGACTGTTAGAGACATCCTCTGGAAGTAAAGAGAACCCCATAGTAAATGTTGGGTTGTGACTGTTAGAGACATCCTCTGAAAGTAAAGAGCATCCCATGGTAAATGCTGGGTTGTGACTGTTAGAGACATCCTCTGAAAGTAAAGAGAACCCCATGGTAAATGCTGGGTTGTGACTGTTAGAGACATCCTCTGAAAGTAAAGAGAACCCCATGGTAAATGTTGGGTTGTGACTGTTAGAATCTTCACACGTCTGTCTTCTGCTGGCTGAAACAGTCATGACCACAGCATAGCACTTCCTTAGGGTACACCCAGTACCAAAGCAGCGTGTATTTAGCTTTGCACTTATGAAAGCTTCCTTTGATGGTGGGGAATGCTCATAATCTGTGCCTGTCTTCTCTTAAACGCTGACTAGTCTGCATGTCGTTGTCCTGGACGGGTCCTCCAGGGGTTTAGAGGTGGATGAAGCCTCCTCACAAATGAGGCTGTTAAATGTCCCTCAGTGTCCCATGATAAAAACCAGGAAGACTGACCCAGAAAACAAATGCTCAAAGTAGCTGGATGTGTCAGCCGAAAGGTCAGATGTTGCAGCTATGCTGTAAGCAGGCAAACACATTTACTTCACTTGGATGAGTGAAGAAGAAATCTTCACATATGCTAGACCACTGCATAGGGAGCTGGAATAATCAGTTACCTTCCTCAGCACCTTTCCATCCCACAAAATTCAATCAAATGTTTTTATACCCTTTATGGGGTAATTTGAACCCAGAGCTCTACTGGGCTCCAAAACCATATTGTTCGGGAAAAAGCTTGTCTTATCATTGCTGGGATTTGAACCCAGACCACTTTCCTGGTGAGCAAGTGCATTAATCATGATATGAGCAAAAGATATGAAACCGAACAAAAAGTATATCAGCGAGCTTCACAATATAACAAACAAAATGTGAACGTTGCAGCTATGGAGCTTTCTTCAGCACATACACAGATTGGACAATCCTACACAAACACACAATATCACTTATCTTCGTATCTCGTGGCAGCCAAGTCGATGTCAAGACAATAGTCTCATGATATGGCCCCAGCTGCAAGCATGCTGATACATTAATCCAGTGACCAAACTTACAGCAGCCATTAAGCATTAAGACAAAGATGAAGTAGGAGAGGGGAAAAGAATATTTCTTTTACTAACCATTTGATTTGTTTCTAAAATTCTTTTTCTGTGAGTTTAATATCTACCACACATAGATATATACCCCTAGTGTCCAGGATTTTCTGAATGTTTATTCCATGCAAACAATATAGTTGTAATATTGTTTTTTTATATCTCCAGTTCCCACCGGAGTATGACATCGGAGACGGAGAAGGAATGGACATGAAGCTCTCAAACAGTGTCTATAACAAGCTCAAGTCATACTCGTTTGCGGAATCCAAGAAGGGTCAGAAAGTTCATGAAAAGAAGGAACATTCCACTGCGGTTAGTGGAGCAGATTAATGCAGCTCACAAAATTGTGTAGTTTTATAGTGTTACAAATGGTATCTCATTGCACACTGGTTGCAGTTAATGTGGTTAGTTTCCAGCGTGGTTGTGGGGGGTTGAACTATACCAAACACTGATTCTCAGTAAGGTCAACCTGCTAGGCATCCATGCAGTACTGAAGAAAATGATATGGCAGCCTCCAGCATGGAAAAAAGATTTCCAATTGGACAGAAAGAGAGGCTATAAGGGCAATCTTAAAAGTGCTTTTAAATGGCATGGCATTACCGATCTGGACGGTGTAGTCCTCAAGAATGGCACATCAGCCTGTCAGGTAGCAGAGAAACAGAGGCAGTCTAGGAAGAACTGTCGAGCAAAGCCCACCTCTCTTGTCACTTCCATCTGTTGTCTGCACAACCCAAGAACTTTCCTGGCTCAATTTAGACTCATCAGCCTTGTACATTCATTGACTACTTTTGGATGCTCTGTAGTCTTTATTATTTATGATGGACAAACAGCAGTTTCCAGCAAAGGTTAAAACCTCACAATTGTTGGGTTTCAGAAATGTATGCAGTTACAATTGCCGTTATGGTTTGTCTTATAAAAAAAACTGTATTTTTTTTTTCTTTATCTTCGCACAGACTGGCTGTATGCTCCATCGGAAAGTTTGTCCACTTCTTGACTTTGATTTTGATCCAGAACTTAAGTTTTTGTGTGCACACTTATTTTACACATCTGGCTTATGCAGACTATTGGTTCCTTGTCTTTCAGGCAGATGCACTTCAACTGTGACAGAAACAACTCACCTCCTACAACATGCTTGTTAACTATTGCAGTCCCAAACAATGTGTCACTGGATTTCTCATATGCCCCAGTTAACATATTAAAATGCTTGTACATTTGATATTTAGTTGGGGCAGGCTAAAACACCCAGCAAAACATTTCTCTCCCGCGAGGGATGTGTGTATGGACCCCTTGGATGTAGCATACCCACTATTTTGTTGAATAAACAGTTGACTCACTGGGGGGAACCATTATGACCTTCTGGGATGGAAAGGGGGCAGTGGGTCTATTCTTTATTCCCCAGAATGGAGCCCCAGAACCCACAAGGAAAGAATTTTCTTATTTCTTAATCATTGTGAATACTTTTTATTCCCATACCACCTTCCTTAACCACCTTTTAGGACATGCTTGATGGGTTCCAGTTATTATTGTCTCTCTGTAATCGGAGTCTGCTCATAATTGGTTTCTGAAATTAAATAGGGAATGTTATCCAGGATAAGTTAAATAGAATTTGTAAATTGTTGTGTTCTCCATTCTCCATAGATTAAAGCTGTTGATGAGAAGACCAGGATTTTGATGTTCAAGCTGGTCAACTCTGGTGTGCTGTCCAGCATTGATGGAGTAGTCAGCACTGGCAAGGAGGCGGTCATTTTTAAAGCTGGTGGCGGGATGTAAGTCATCTTTTTGAGGTTTTTTTTTTTTTTTTCAGTTTTAAATGTCCGCAGCTCGTATTCAGTCATTGTATAGGGAGATGGCTGCTTATACCTGTCACGTTATCAACAGTTATGAGTTATGATTTGGGTTATCTTCACTGCACTCCAGACACGTCCAAAGGTGCTCAGATTCCCCTTTCATCATATGTGTCAGTGTCCCTTGGTTGATAATCCCAGTCCTATGTTGGTTACCGATCTTTACTCACAATTCTTGCACTCTTAGCAAAGATGTGGAAGTGCTGCTCCCAAAATCCTTCAAACGTCCTACCTCTCTAATGGTATTAACAATGTAGGCCCTCTGTAACTATGTCACTAAGGCAAAGCCGGCTAATCTGTCAGCTCTTTCATTTCCAACAACACCCGCATATCCTGGTACAAAGATGAACGTAACTCCATGCACAGGGGAGTTTTGCAGTGACTGTTACCAATAGTATCTGTCTCTTTGCAGGGTGAGAACCCTTGAACAGAAGTCTTTGGCAGGAGCAGACCGTAATTTCTACAGGAAAATTATGTCAACAGTTAGATTAACACTAATTTAAGAAGTTTGCTTCTTTACGTAGTCAAATAGTTCTGTATTTACCCTTCTTATTTGTTTTTTATTTGCATAAGATCGGCTTAGTGTGGTTATAATTAGGCTATCTATTGGATCGGTTTGGTGGTCATAATGTGTCCATAATAAAATCTTCTGCCAGTTGTGCTCTGCATTATGATGTCAGCCTATTCATTTTCTCCTACTTGTTGCCTTGTCTCGGACATCCTCACTGTTTTCAGTAAGTCCTGGGATATCATTTCCTAATTGAATTCAACTTTGTGGATTGGTGTCAGATTTTTTTGAAGCATTCATCTTACTTGTAGCAGCATATGGATGTGAGTTGTTGACTATCTCAGTCATTAAGGGAGAAATCTGAAATGCTATAGAAAGATTCTTAGAATGCCGTAGGCTAACAAGAAAAGAAATATTGATGTCATGAAAGGTAGAATAAGAGATATCAGTGGGGGAAAAAATTGGTTTGTAAATATTTTGTCTAAAAAAACAAATACTTGTGCCATTTCAAGCGTCACAGCGGATTTGAAAGAACAGTGACAGAGGGAATTGTACCAATAACGGGTCAGGGATCGACCAGCACAAAGATGGCCACAAGACATTAGAGACACAATGGGCAAGAAAGTGCAGGAGATGGAATGAGCGAATAAACTTTATTTAAGAGATGGCAAGAGACCTGGTAGTTTTTTTGTGGGTTTTTTTTAGGCAGGCTATGTTAGGAAAGATATTTTGTGAAGGACCTGCTATGTAATGGTTTGTTCCTCACTATATTTTATGTATACATTACAGGGACGGACAAATGAAAGTTCCTAAAGATGTGATCTTGAAAGTGTACAAGACAACCATGAATGAGTTTAAGTCGCGAGCCAAGTACATCACTGGTGACCACAGACTGTCCAAGGATGTCTTCAAGAAGCAGAATCCCAGGAAGATTATCAAAATATGGGCAGAAAAGGAGTGTATGAATTTACGCAGGTGGGCAGGTGTAGTCTATTCATTGTAATCATCACATTTTCAGGAGTAAAGCTTAATTGCTTTCTTCTCCTCCTTGTTCATGTTCACTAGCTGTAAAGTGCAGCAGAAATTATGGTTGTTCAATTATAACTAGTAATGCATTGTGGATATAAACTAAAGGCAGCTAACAAGTATGTAGTCAGAGTCTGCTGATTAGGGATGTTTCCTTCAAAGTTAGTGTGCATCTGCCTGAAAGGCAGGGAACCAACAGTCTGCATACAGATTAGCCAGAGCTGTAAAATAGATGTGCATGCAAAACTCAGGTTTTGTAAGAAGACCAAAGTCAAGAAGTGGATGAGCCACCAGAACTTTCAGCCGGAGTTGACAGTCGGGAACATCAAGAAGGAAGAGTTGCTAACATTAGGAGACTGATAACCTAGCAGCACACAGCAGTTCTAAACAAAAGAAGGGGTCCTGGGGGAAGTTTTTTATTTGTTGTCCTTTGTCTGATGATGGCTTTTTTCTTTATTTAGTGATTATCCTCTATTTCATAACATAACAAACTGTACATTGTTTCAGAATGCGCAGACACAAAATCCCTTGCCCTACGCCTGTGACACTGAAGAAACATGTGCTTGCCATGACCTGCATTGGTGGAGAAAACCCTGCTCCTAAACTCAAAGAGGTGAAACTCAGCACTGAAGACATGCAGGATGCTTATGAGCAAACAGTTCAGGTATTGTCTTCATTATCATCTGCCTCTTTTCAGATACCTGGTCTCCTTGGGTGAGCCCAGGACCAGAGTGTCGTATGTCAGTCTTGCGTTATGGAAGCCTTCTTGGCAGGTGGGGCATGCCTATGTTCTGCCCCTACATTCCCTTGAAGGCCAACCAGTCTACACTTGGTTGCCCTGGATTGGGTTCTCCAGGGGCAACAGCTGTAGATAAAGGGGAAAAAGAGCACCACACAAATAAGGCTGCGTCATGTTTCAAGAAACCAACCAGGAAGGCTGACTCAGTAATCAAGTGCCTGATGAAGTCAGAAATGGCCAAAAGCCACAGATATCGCAGGTGTGCTGTAAACAGGCACAACACAAATTACCTCACTCGGACAAACAGTGAAGAAGTAGAAGTAGAAGATGCCTGATCAAAGGACATACATTTTTCATTATTTCCATTCTTGCTTTTTAGTGAAAGTAATAAAAGCCTGTATAATTATTCATCACCTAGTTGTTCAAACGTTCTATGAATGTTTCTCTATTTTATTCTTCCGCTTTGCCAGATGTTTTTAACTAGGTAAAGCCTATTTCAGGCATTCTGACTTTTCTCTTGTTTTTCATGGAAATTGTGTTTGTCTTTAGATTTTGATGAGTGATCTAGTAACATTTGAAGCTTTGAACAATTCTGAATGTATTTTATTCTTTCCTGACGATATATTTTTGTTCCTCATTCACTGTTTTTTAGCAGTGCTTACATAAGAATTCCATTCTTTGAAAGTATGTTACTATTTTTGAGAACCTGTTTAATATTTGGAAGCTAATTGTGTTTTATTAATGTTTGTGTGAATTTGCTAACCAAGATCACTTACCCCTTTAAGGGGGACAAATGTACAGAAATAAGCATCCTGAGTTAGATTCCAACAGAAAACAGTGACAGTGTGGAGGTAAAGGCAGCTACTGCCTTTTTCTCGTGTGGGTTCCAGAGCCTCGTTTAGGGGATTTTAAACAAAGCAGTTTTTAAAGGAATGGAACCACTACCATCTAACAAGCATATTGTAAAAGGCAACCAACTGGGACTTTGCTGAAATCTGATGTGTTAGGCCAAAAATGCTGATATTGAACCCTAGCTGTAAACCACAATATACTGACCCCAAAATGTAGAAGTTGGAAAAAGCTACATTGATGTTCTGTTTTTTTTTATGGCAAGAATTATTGTTGCAACAGTGACATAAAGAAGCATCTTTTCCATTGACTAAGACACAAAAAGAAGTGACAATAATTACAAGTACTGACATTTTGTTTTCCCTATAAATTAGTTTGAAGTTGAAGAGTCTTTTTTTTGTTTCTTCTAGATAATAAAAGGTCTGTACCGAGATTGTGGTCTGGTTCATGCAGATTTGAGTGAATACAACTTGCTGTGGCACGATGGAAAGGTCTGGATCATTGATGTCAGCCAGTCTGTGGAGAAAGAGAACGCTACCTCCAACGATTTCCTACTCAGGGACTGCCAGAATGTATCTGATGTTAGTATCTATCATTTTCTTACAGATCTCATTCTCTTGAATACAGACTGTTGGTTTCTTGCCTCTCCGGCAGATGCACTCCAACTTCAAAGGAAGCTCCCCAATTAGTCGACTCTTACGACATGCTTTTGGGGAGGCAGTGGGTCTATTCTTTTTTCCCCCGCAATGGGGCCCTGGAACCCACACGGGGGACTTTTAAATATTAAATTGTCAGGGATGTGTGTGTGTATTTGTTGATTTAGTTGTGCTCAGCTTAGAAGTATATGAGATGCCGAGTCACTCACGTATTCACAACAAGCATTAATTGATGCCTGCGCAGAAAAGAAGGCTAAATGGGTATTCCAGAATCACTAATGTGGAGCTTGGCCACAGAACTAAATAAATTCCGGAAGCGTGAGAAGTGAGGACAAGATGCGGGTATGACAAGTATTGATAAAAGTTTACCTAAAATTCTCTTTCACAGCAGAATAGATGTAGGGACTCCTGGAAGTTCACTTGTGCTGAGAAATAAATCAGAATATTACTAAGTCATGTTTTAGTACAGTGTAAATGGTCTGTTTCAGCACAGCATAAATGGGCTGCTTCAGCACAGCATAAATGGGCTGTTTCAGCACAGCATAAATGGGCTGGGTGACATTAGGCTTGGGATGGTGATTTTTCACCCCCATTTTTTCATTGCTGGAGACTCCCGGTCCATTGCCAAGGAATTAAAGCCTAGGTTGTTAATGTTTCACCTCAGTATTTCATTTTTAGGAGACTCCCGGTCCATTGCCAAGAAATGTAAGCCTAGGTTGTTAATGTTTCACCTCAGTATTTCATTGTTAGGAGACTCCCGGTCCATTGCCAAGGAATTTACGCCTAGTTTGTTAATGTTTCACCTCAGTATTTCATTTTTAGGAGACTCCCGGTCCATTGCCAAGAAATGTAAGCCTAGGTTGTTAATGTTTCACCTCAGTATTTCATTGTTAGGAGACTCCCGGCCCATTGCCAAGGAATTTAAGCCTATGTCGTTGATGTTTTGTTAATATTTCACCTCGGTATTTCATCGTGAGGAGTCTCCCGGCCCATTGCTGATGAGGATTTGTTTTTTATTTGATGAAAACTTGTGTATGTCTTCTATTGGCCCAGCTGCTAGTCATATTTTACATGTATTTAAGGGAATATCAATTTAATGACTTGTGAGTGCCTGAGGGATTGGTACACTGGGCTTTCATTTTGGAGACCCAGGTTCAAATCCTCTGTAAGGTTGTGACATATTTTTTTATTTGTAGAAATATTGTCAGCCTGTACAGATGATGGTAACTGCACTAGCCAGGCGGCTGTAAATCCTCACACTAACAGTTCTACACAAGCATAAACAGTGGGATAATAAGGGCTGTAAATCCTCACACTAACAGTTCTACACAAGCATAAACAGTGGGATAATAAGGGCTGTAAAAGACAGTTTAACTTTATCCATTTGGTCAATGGTTAGAGACCTATTTCTGAATGCATGTTTTTCACAGGAGTGTTTTCTGTTTCCTACAGTTCTTTAAACAAGCCGGGGTTCATGGTGTGGGCACTGCGGAGGAGCTGTTCATGGATGTTACCAACTACTCTCTGGAAGGAACTGGAGCTGTGTTTGCCTCACAGGTATGTTGTTGTTGGCTGGGGGTCAGTTCTCTCAGAGATGGTGTGGTAACCCTGATGAATTGTTGTTTGCATTCACCGTCTGTAAACATGGCGGAAAGACCTGGTTGTTAAGACATTTTTGGACTTTGGCTTTGTTTTAGGACATAATTTTTATGTGGGCATCAGTTTTACAGATGTTGCTTATTTCAATGCAGACTATTGGCTCCTTGCCTCTCAGGCAGATTCACTCCGACTTTGAAGGAAGCCCCAGTTAGTCGACTCTTACGATATGCTTGTTGGGGAGGCCGTAAATCTATTCTTGTTTTTCCCGCAATTGGACCCCAGAACCCACACGAGGACCTAATAAATTTATTCAGTCATGTGAGCTTAAAAATGGGTTGGACCTATCACTAGGAGCTTTCCTGTCACTCCAGGCCACAAGAACACTTCAGTAGGGGTCTGTGTTGTGGAGTTTTCCTTTCTGTTTCCATGTCCAGAAATCAGCAAGATTTGTACTGAAACTTGACATCTGTGGAGAGGCATGGTGATCCTTGGACTCTTCCTGTGGATTCCTACTTTGAGAGGACAAAGAGTAGATGCCACTTTGAGAGGATAAAGGGTAGATGCCACTTTAGGAGGACAAAGAGTAGATGCCACTTTGAGAGGACAAAGAGTAGATGCCACTTTGAGAGGATAAAGAGTAGATGCCACTTTGAGAGGATAAAGAGTAGATGCCACTTTGAGAGGACAAAGAGTAGATGCCACTTTGAGAGGATAAAGGGTAGATGCCACTTTAGGACAAAGAGTAGATGTCACTTTGAGAGGACAAAGAGTAGATGCCACTTAGAGAGGATAAAGAGTAGATGCCACTTTGAGAGGATAAAGAGTAGATGCCACTTTGAGAGGACAAAGAGTAGATGCCACTTTGAGAGGATAAAGGGTAGATGCCACTTTAGGAGGACAAAGAGTAGATGCCACTTTGAGAGGACAAAGAGTAGATGCCACTTTGAGAGGATAAAGAGTAGATGCCACTTTGAGAGGATAAAGAGTAGATGCCACTTTGAAAGGACAAAGAGTAGATGCCACTTTGAGAGGATAAAGAGTAGATGCCACTTTGAGAGGATAAAGAGTAGATGCCACTTTGTGAGGATAAAGAGTAGATGCCACTTTGAGAGGACAAAGAGTAGATGCCACTTTGAGAGGAAAAAGAGTAGATGCCACTTTGACAGGATAAAGAGTAGATGCCACTTTGACAGGATAACGAGTAGATGCCACTTTGACAGGATAAAGAGTAGATGCCACTTTGAGAGGACAAAGAGTAGATGCCACTTTGAGAGGACAAAGAGTAGATGCCACTTTGACAGGATAAAGAGTAGATGCCACTTTGAGAGGAAAAAGAGTAGATGCCACTTTGACAGGATAAAGAGTAGATGCCACTTTGACAGGATAAAGAGTAGATGCCACTTTGACAGGATAAAGAGTAGATGTCACTTTGAGAGGACAAAGAGTAGATGCCACTTTGAGAGGATAAAGAGTAGATGAGGATATCCTGATGATCAACCAACCTAACATTCCTAATGTCCTTGTGTTGTTGTTTTTTTGTTTTTTTTTGCTGACTTAAATTAAAGCTGAGTGATAGTTCACAATTAAGGATTAGTTGACAGTTAAGGATTAGTTGACAGTTGAGGATTAGTTGACAGTTGAGGATTAGTTGACAGTTAAGGATTAGTTGACAGTTAAGGATTAGTTGACAGTTGAGGATTAGTTGACAGTTGCTGATTAGTTGAGGATTAGTTTACTGTTGAGTGATAGATGACAGTTGAGTGATAGTTGACAGTTGAGTGATAGTTGACAGTTGAGTGATAGTTGACAGTTGAGTGATAGTTGACAGTTGAGTGATAGTTGACAGTTGAGTGATAGTTGACAGTTGAAGATTCGTTGACATTTGAGTCTTCTTCTTAGTGTTCACTGGCTGTACTCTCCAGAGGAATATTCTAGTTGTTCAGCATTATTTGGATCTTAGTACCCCACCCCCCCCCCCCCCCCCTACCCCCCGAACTTGAATTAGTGTGCACATCCATTTTACAGATCTGGCTTATATGCAGACTGTTAATTCTTTGCCTCTCAGGTGGATGGACTCTGACTTTAGAGGAAACCTAATTAGTTGACTGTTAACACATGCTTGGGGGGGGGGGGGGGGGGGGGGGGAGCAGTGGGTCTGTTATTTGTTCCCATCAAACTGGGGTTCTCCCAGCCCACCCAGGGAGACAGTTAAATGATAGATGACCATTGAGTGATCATCAGCTATTGAGCAGTAGTGACCATTGAGTGATCATCAGCTATTGAGCATAGTGACCATTGAGTGATCATCAGCTATTGAGCAGTAGTGACCATTGAGTAATAGTTGACCCCTACTTTCTGTATTTCAGGTCACAAGATATCAAAAATCAGACTACCCATTTGACTACTACTTTGAACAGTCTGAAGCCATACGGGAGCAGGGCCTGGTCATTGAAGACAGCAGCGATAGTGACGAGGATGATCATGATGATGATGATGTCACAGAAGATGATGATGACTTGCATGAAACCAAGCAAGAAACAACAACACAAGAAAATACAGATTTCCCTAGCTCATTGCACTGATAACTCCTCATAGGTCAAAGGTTGTGTTGATATCTGAATTGTAAATATTTGTGACAATATCATTATTTTCCACAGCATACTGAATTAAAAGGTTGAAACATTACTGAAAAGATGATTTGATGTTAGAAAATATTGGATGTTGATTACATGGCATCAGTTGTGTCCCCCTGTCTGTCCCAGCCAATGAACAATGGAGATCTAGTAAACCTGGGACTACTATAGGCTTATCCACGGTCATGGTGCAGCAGGGGCATACTACCTGTAACTTTGGTGTTCAGTCTCTCATTAAGTGTCTCAGTCTGATTGTTCTATTAATCATTGTCATTCTTCCATTATTCATAATCATTGTTCCATTAATCATTTTCATTGTTCCATTAATCATTGTCATTGTCCCATTAGTCATTGTTCCATTAATCATTGTTCCATTAATCATTATCATTGTTCCATTAGTCATTGTCATTGTTCCATTAGTCATTGTTCCATTATTCATAATTATTGTTCCATTAATCATTGTCATTGTTCCATTAATCATTATCATTGTTCCATTATTCATTATCATTGTTCCATTAATCATTTTCATTGATCCCTTAATCATTATCATTGTTCCATTATTCATAATTATTGTTCCATTAATCATTGTCATTGTTCCATTAATCATTGTCATTGCTCCATTAATCATTTTCATTGTTCCATTATTCATTATCATTGTTCCATTAATTATTATCATTGTTCCAATAATCATTATTGTCTACAAAAAGTAAAATAATAGAATAATATAAAGTACCTTAACTTCCTATGGTAAAAAGGGATAACTAGAGTAGAAAGGAGATTTCTTTCTTTGTGTGTATAAATGAGCCAAGTTGATAGCTTTGGGATTATCACAATTTTTAGTGTCATTGTTAATAGTACATTATTCTATTAGAGAAGATTATAAAATACCTCTATATCCCCACAAATTTTGGCTAAAATAATGGTTTTGCGAGAGATCATAAAGCACCTCCATATCCCCACAATGTTGGCTGAAAAAAAAAAAAAATTTCAAGACATTATAGGATATCTCTATATCCCCACAATGTTGGCTGAAATAGTTGTTCTGCTAAAGAATCAAACCCCTCTACATTCCCTGGTTGTCTTCTAGAGAATCAGAAATCTCTACATCCTAAGTCAAGGTTTTTCAACTGGCTGCCCACGGCCCAAATTTGGCCCACAAAGGCCTAGCAAGTGGCTTGTGGATCATTGCCAGTTTTATATTATTGATCTATCTGTGCTGAGGCTCTTGCTCATGACGTTCCCCATTTTCACGGCTTTGGCCACAGGGTAAACTAAGTTGAATAGCACTGTTTTCAAGTTAAAAAAGGAAAGACTAAAGGGGAGGTAGAATGTGTATTAATAAATAAATGGTCTGTAAACGGTAACAGTGAATGAAACCATGAATAAGAAGGCATATCCTGCACATTGTTTCTGAAAGCTGATGCATTTGTGCATGAGCCTATAATGTCTGTTTCTATCACAAAACCAATCGCAACAAGCCACAGAGCAATAAAGATTAGTTACTTAACATACTCTGATTTTGTTGTTTGTGTAGACAACAATGCTGAATCTGTAACTCATTATTGAAAGTACTTTATTTGTGTTTGTAACCATAGTGCAAATGAAGCTCTTATAACATACTTTTGGGTAGGCAGTTGGTCTGTTCTTGTTTTCCCCACAATAGGGCCCAAGATCTGCACAGGGAGGCGCTTAAAATGAGTTGTATTATACATCATAAACAAATAACTATGTATTGTTCAGCACTCACAGAAAGAAGTAGACAGAAGGACATGCTAGACATAACAGTCAAAAGCTACAAATGGAATAACTATTGAAAATCGAAACTGTCACCTCCAAATGACGACAGCACCTTGCTGCACTAATTAATTGTATTAGTTGTATGACCAACTAGCACCCCCCCCCTCCCCCCCCCCCCCCCCCCCCCCCCCAGAAAGGTCTCTTCATGGGCCATGTCTCATACAGCTTGAATCCACAACTGTGGATCACAGAATTTGTCTTAAGCCACTGAAATGGCACCATAGGTCACAGAAGTTTATATTAACCAAGTATAAGTTGAATCTCAAAACACACTGACAAATCTGTAATGTTGCTGTATCTACAATACAAAAAACATTTGAGGAAGAGATTTGAAAGCTTGGTTCCATTATGTTGCATTTAAAAACAGAAATAAACAGTCACGTATTGTCTAGTGTGTCTTTATCTCTCTGCTTCTTTCTGTGAGTGCCAATCAATACATGTCTATTTGTTTATTACATATATTTTTATGGCCTAAATTGTCCCCAATCTGCTTATTGTGAGTTGACTGAGGGTGTAGTATTCAGTAGGGGGTCAAAGATCAGATGAAAAATAATAAAGTATTATATTATGTTGTCCTTGGGTTTGTGGATCACGTCTGATCTAATTCATCCCATATTTTTTCTCCCAGAAATTTCCCACTTTTGGACATATGTACCATCATGGTCTCAACATAATGGCAGACAGAGATTGTCCGTGACATACACAGAAAACCAGATATTGCTATTATATAATAAAAGGCAAGTCGGTACATGTATTTCTTCTTCTGCTTTCATCTGAAGATGTGTCTGTTTACAGCATGGCTGTGATATTTGCACCTTTCGGCCAACACATCTGACTTCTGCAGGCATTTGTTGACCAGGTTAGCCTTCGCAGTTAGTTTGGTGGGGCATTGCAGTCTTATTATTGTGGGGTCATCAAAGGTCACAGGTGGTGCCCCTCCTCAGGCCGGTCCAGAGAGGCCATGTAATGCTGATCAGCACTCGGGAGAAGGCAGGGGTAGAACATGAACTGTCGCCGCCATTCAAGGAGGCTTCCATAAATGCAGAGCCAATACACAGTGCTCTGGTACTGGGCTCACCCAAGGAATTGTCACGTTCTGCTTATGTCTGTTTAACCTCACTTCCATATATTGAACATCTCATTCATTATGGGCGTTTTGTTTTTTGTAGCCAACAGTTGGCAGCCTGCAGACCTGGGATTTCATTTACCTACACCACAAAATGAGTTCTTTGCTTCTTTTGCATGTTAGTCTTTTTACTACAGTGGACTTCCTCATCCAGTATAGTTCTATATGACATTTCCCACATAGACGCCTGGGGGCACCTAGTGTAACAGTATACGGACAGATGGGTCTGTTTAATTTTTTTATTCCAGTGTCGTGGTTTACGCGCTCTGCATCTCTAGGGACTATCAGTTCTGAGAATCCCAGACAGTTTTATTCTTCTTATACCTCATATGTCAGTGTGAATTTTTTTGAAGAAATCAGCAGTCAACTTGAGGTTGTTGACATTTCCACACAGTTTATCCTCAAAAGTTGCTGATGTAAGCCAGAATTGTCTCTGTGCTGCTTATGTTGGACACTCTTATAGCAAGTGTTTAGCCATCATTTTACCCTTTCCACAGGTACAGTCATCAATGTCTCCTATCTCCTATCTTTAGCTTATTGAACAAGTGGTGTTTCAGCTTATTATGTCCTGTATGGGGTCTAAAGATGGTACTTTTTCTCTTCGGCCAAGTTGGTAGTATGCATCTTCCTTCTTATAGCCTGGATGTTCAGAATCCCATCTGGTACAATATGTTTTTTTTTAACCCTTTTACACGCCCTTAGGCACTTTGGGCATATGGGAAGAGCACCCATATTTTTACAGACCAGTCGGCACTCAGTGGGTAATGTGGTCAGCATTACGCTGGCCGTCTTTACTGTCCCAGGACAGCCCATCCTGGTACCCATTTGAGGCTTGGTCGACCTGTGACGTCCTATACCACGATAAAAATCCACGCAGCCCGCAGTGGGTTTCGATCGCAGTACGTTGGATTACGAGTCAGACTCGCAACGCCTTAGCCACAGACGCCGCGGTACAATATGTACTTCTCTATTTTTCTCTGACAGAAGCATTTCTGCTGCAGTTCTCAAGGCCTCTGGCTGTGCTCTAAAATTACTTGAAAACTTTCTGGTTGCAGTCAGCTGTTTTCTTTGATCCATTTTTCAGATTCTGGACAATTCCTCCACCTCCATTTTCTGTTGAGTTTTGTTGTTGTTGATCTATCTGTATATGCATGAGTTCAGGTGTTAAGAACCAGCAAGGAAATCAGAATTTACATTTTGAGAGCATGTATCTTCCCTGAAGTAACATGCAGATGTGAGTCGTGGACTATCTCCCAGTCTTTAAGGAGAAAGAAAATATGGGCTTTTGAGCTGAAATGCTATAGAATCTCAGAATAGCATGGACAGAGAAAAGAAGAAATACTGGCATTTTAAAAGATCTGAACATCAAGAAAGATTTGCCAATAAGCAGCATCTTGTCTCGGAAACTGAAATATTATGGTCATATCAGGTGCCATGGCAAAGTGAACAACAATAATAGCAGAAGGCATGGTACCAGGAAGGAGGGGCAGGGACCAGCCAACACAAAAGATGGGCACAGGATATAATGACTCCTTGAATAGTACACGAGGCAGGATAGCTGATGAGGGACCGAGTTTCTTTCAGGCAGACCATGAGAGTAACGTTCTGCAAAGGAACTGCTACATAATGGATGGATGGTCTGAATATCTACCATAGACTAAAGTCACACACTGCTGGATGCCTATCTTCTTATGTACTAAATAACAAATGCATAATATTCAGAATAACAAATAATACATTATTTTCCAAATATGTATATACATTTTGGGATAATTAGTGATATCTCAAACAGATGTTTTGTTATGCCAACTGTCGAGGATCATGTGTATGCTATGTGTGTGTGTGTGTATGTGTGTGTAATTGTGCATGCATATCTGTATGTCTGTGTGTGGGTGTGTATAGTACACACTGGCCTCTTCCCCAATAACCTTCACTAGGTGCTAGAGTACCAGTCCAAGTACTAGTTTTGGTGCAATTAATATTTCTTAGCCAATGTAATTAGCTCAAAGAAATTAGACCACAATTA